TAAATGCGCCTAACCTAACCCTCGCGCGCCCAGGGGGCTCTTTTACTGGCTATTTTCTCTGTTTCTGGCCAGGAGCCGACCCGGGCTGCAGCGCGTCGAGGAGGTGGACTTGGCCCGACTTGAACGCGTGCAATACGGGAGACCAAGACCCGTAAAGCAGCACCGAGTTCCGAACTCTCCAACGATCGGTCGAGCCGACAGCCGAGCGGCGAGCGTGCTCGGGCGGGCTTCGGATACCGTTGGTCTCGGGATCGAATCGCGTCCGCGAAACTCTTTTTTCCACTCTGCTAGCGACGTGTTTTCAGACTTGAGTGCCAGTGGAGATGATCCTGTCCGCTGAAGCGAAAAAGAGCTTGGCGGACGGGATTCGATCCCGGGACAAAGGGTGTCCGGAGCCCACCCCAGCACGCTCGCCACTCGGCTGTCGGCTCGACCGGTCGTTAGAGAGTTCGGAACTCGGTGCTGCTTTACGGGACTTGGTCTTGGAACGTATTGCACGCGTTCAAGTCGGGCTAAGTCCACCTCCTCGACGCGCTGCAGCCCGGGTCAAATCCTAGCCAGAAACACGGAAAATGACCAATAAATGCGCCTAACCTAACCCCCGCGCGCCCAGGGGGCTCTTTTACTGGCTATTTTCTCTGTTTCTGGCCAGGATTTGACCCGTGCTGCAGCGCGTCGAGGAGGTGGACTTGGCCCGACTTGAACGCGTGCAATACAGGAGACCAAGACCCGTAAAGCAGCACCGAGTTCCGAAATCGCCAACAACTGGTTGAGCCGACAGCCGAGCGGCGAGCGTGCTCGGGCGGGCTTCGGACACCGTTGGTCTCGGGATCGAATCCCGTCCGCGAAACTCTTTTTTCCACTCTGCTAGCGACGTGTTTTTTTAGACTTGAGACGACCGATGTCGAATGGAGAGTGGGAAAAATGATCCGCGCGGGCGGGGTTCGAACCCGCGACCATCAGTACCGCTACTCGCCACTACACCAACTGAGCCACAAGGCCACCGTATGTTAGCATTCTCCAAGAGCCGAGCCTTTCTACGCTCTGTCTGGCGGCGGCTAAGCCAATGCTAACAAAGCGGAAAAAAACAACCCGGGCCCGGACGGTATTTGAACCAGAGATCATCTAAGTCCCGGGCAAGCGCTCTACCAACTTAGCCAGACGAGAATATTTACAGTTGTAGCCGGGAACGCGGTCCTGCCTTTTAGGAGACATGAAGCGGCGGGGAAAAAACGCGCCGACTGGGAGTAGAACACTGGAACGTCTGCTCACGACACTACGCCCTAGCGAGCTCGGCTGCCAGGGGATCTCTGGCTTGTGACTCCCTGGTCCTTCGTTACGGGAGAAAAAAAGAGACGAAAATAAACCTTTGACTTGGCTGGGAGTAGAACTCTGGGCTAACAGTCTGGGAGTGTCCACCACGCGTGAGCTAGAATAAATACCACAGACCAGAAACGACAAATTAAAAACGCGCCGACTGGGAGTAGAACACCGGAACGTCAGCTCACGACAGGGCGCCTTTGCTCCTTCGGCCGCCAGGACATCCATATCCCTTGACCTTCTGGACTCGGTCCTACTCTACGAAAGACGAGAAGCGCCAAAAAAAAAGTACAAACGCGCCGGTCGGGTGTTGATCCCCAGGCCGCCAGTTACCAGCGATGGGTGACGCCTACGCGCGCTCGGCTGCTAGAACACACGTCTTCTTAACTTTCCGGACTCGGTCCCAATCTACAAAAGACGAAAAGCGACAAAAAAAAAAAAACATGTGCCGGGCGGGTGTTGATCCCCAGCCCGCCAGTTAGCGGCCACGGTCGACGCATATGCGCACTCTGCTGCCAGCTGGTCCACATGGATATTTCCGTTTGATGCTGCACAGTTGTAAAGATACAGCCGCGTGAAACTGTGAAAATGTGCACGCACGAAACACAGCCTTTAAAAAAAATCGCAAGTCTTTATCCCTATGTCTCGTCACAACAGTTTTCAAGACTCCCTTTTATATTTGTAATTTGGCATGATTTTATCCAACATTCTCATTTTAACAGTGCCACGATTAATTGCGCCCTCCAAAAATGTACTTGGTGACATGACGCCCCAGCCACCTGCGGCTCCGGCCAGCCGCGCCTCTTGCCGTATGACCCGTTATATTAGCTATGAATATTCACGCCTCGGCGTGTCGCGGGGCGCGAAGGGGTTGGAGGTCCTGAGGG